ATAAAAAAAAGAAGAAAAAATGTTATTAGTAAGGATATTAATATCTAAAAATAAACAAATAAAAGAAAAACATACATATTGCAACATAGAATAATCAATAGTGAAGAAAATTGTAAGAAGAAAAATAATCAGACCTAAAAATAGCTTAGAAAAAAAAATGTATAAAAGCAGTAACAAAAATAATATATTAGAGTCTTTACACTCAACACCTCTGCCAATAAAACTCATAAAACTATCTGGCATCGCAATAATAATCACATTTTCATTTCACTTACAAGTCTTTTAAAAATTTAATAAACATTACGATTATAAAAATTTGTAATTTAAATGGAAAAACTTTAAAATGAAACAGACTCAGACATTAACAATAATAGCTTTGAGGATGAAGTAGGTTTTATAGATCAAATAGATTATACGAATGAAATGGATTATAAAGATATGGTAGATCTTGAAAATAATAAACCAGAACAACAAGAGATAGAAGAAGAACAAGTTACCAATACTACACAAGTAAAAAAAGCAACCTCTAAAAAACAAAAGCATAATGTAAACAATTCTCAGTCAGAAACAGAAGCATCTACATCTACTCTTACTAAAAAACCAAGTATTGTACAAAAGAACTTACCCAAGAGAAAAAAAGGTGGATCGCAAGTTAGAAGCTGGGTTTGGAAGTATTTTGATAGACTTATATCTCTACCAGATAAAGCTGTACGTGAAAAATGTAAAGTAGTAAAAAATAGAAAAAAATGTGAACATATGATTGATACAGAAGGTTCTACAAGCAATATAAAATGTTATCTTTTGAGTATACATAGTTTAACAAAAAGTGGGCCAATATCACATAATTCAAGCCAAATAAGCATTAATAATTCTTTTCAATTAGCATCATGTAACAATATTAAAAGAAAAACGACTATTGATCAAGCTTTGACTAAATTTATTATTTTAGATAATCAACCTCTTTCTATAATTTCTAGTGAATCATTTATTAATTTTATTAAAGCACTTGACTCTTATTACGAACTTCCTTCTGATATAAAATTAAAAGAATTTATTTATCAAGGGTTTAATTGAGTACAAAATTATATTAAATCATTGTTTTCTAACAGTACCATTTTTGTTAATTTAACTGCTGATATATGGACTGCTTGAAATAATATTGGTTATCTTGGGGTTACATGTTTTTGGATTACTCTTAATTTTGAAATAAAAGAAGTTACACTTAGTATAAGAGAACTCAAATATCCATATACAGGACTATCAATTGCAATTATTTTGCAAGAAATAATTAAAGAATAGAGTTTAACTAATAAGATTTTTATTATAACTACTGACAATGGTACGAATATGGTTAAAGCAGTTAGATATATAGATAGTATAAGTCATTTACCTTGTACATCACATACTTTGCAGTTGGTTGTTAAGAAAGGTCTTAATCCTGTTAAAGTTTTAATTGCATGTGCTAAAAGGTTAATTCATTTTTTTATGAGCCCAAAGCAATCAGAACATCTTGTCGAAGCACAACATTATTTGAAAGTTCAAAATAATGATATATTAATTAATAATCATGAATACTTACATACAATTGCTGATATATTCACTAGATGGAACTCTTCCTACCTTGCTTGAACACGTCTTTTAAAGCTTAAACGTGCTATTGCAGTTATGATAATTAATTTAGCTGATAAAACTGATCAACAAAGCAAAAAAGATTATCAATGATTAAAACATATTGTTTTAACTGAAGATGAATGGTTTTTATTAGCTGATCTTACTAAAGTCCTTAAACAATTTTATGATGTAACAAATTTATTAGGTGGTAGTTAGTATTCTATAATATCTTTTATGTATATAGCAATTATGACAATTAAACAAAGTTTAAGTACAAATATTGTTGAAGATGAAGTAGTAGACTATATATGCTTATCTGATGCTTTTGATTATGATCCAGATTTACAAGATGATGAGAAAAATTATGACCAGATTATAGCAAAAGAGAAAACTAATAAAAAAAATTTAAAAATTAATAATCCTCAAGTTACTAATAGGTTCTTAATAAAATTAAAATTGTTCTTTTAAAAAATTTGAATTATTATTGGAAACTACCTATGAATAAGGCTTTATTAGCAACAATATTAGACCCATACAATAAGAGAATGGATAAAGCAACAGCTACTAATCGGTTTAAAGCTAAAAGTCTTTTAATTACAGAATATGAACTTTTAAAATCTGATGAATTGAAAACTGATATTCAAAATAATTCAAAAGAAAATGAGAAAAATAAATTACTGCATGCAATATATAGTTCTAATCCACAAAGAGTATAGACAAATGAAGTTGAAAGCTATTTGGTGCTTAATCCAATTCTAAGCAATCAAAATCTGTTAGTTTGGTGGGAAGAACAGAAAAATTCATTTCTAGTTTTTAGCCAATTAGCTAAAAAATATCTTGGAATTGCTGCAACTTCTAGTAAATGATTGTTTTTAGATACTGAAAATATAATGACTAATAAAAGGACTCGCTTGAGTTCTAAGCTTTTTGAAACCATAGTTTTTTTAAAATAAAATATTAAAGTTGTAAATTCTATGTTTTCTAATAATAATTAGATCGATTAATATTATTTTTATATTTTGCAAGAGTTCTTATTATAGATTCTTTTTTGTTTATTATAAAAAACAAATGCAAGCAAAGGGGTTAGAGAGAATTGTATACAAGGAATTTTGATTTGTATTAGAGATAATTGTGAGGAGTGTAAAGAAAATTATATGCAAGAAAATTTTATTAGTAATGCGCAAGAGGTTTTTGATTAGTATTAGAGAGAATTTTTTTATTATACATAAAGATATATACTATTATATCATGTGTTATTTATTAATTCTTGCTGATTTGAAATATTATTAATAAATAACTTATATATATTGTTTTGAAATTAGTATAAATTTTACTCAGTATATAAAATTTTAGTGATTTAGGGTGTTTTTAAGCATCTCACTCAATAAATCAGAAGCAAATTTTTAATAGTTAAAAATTGAATAAATTAATCAAATGAGCTACCATTGCAATGAACAAATCAGTAAGTTACAAACCATCTTTTTTTTCAAAAATTTACTATTAATAAAGGTCACTTAAGCATTACATTTAATTTTTTTATATATCAAATATAACAAACAATAAATTCTCAACAAATTACAAACTGATATGAAAAAATAGCTACTTTATTTTTAATTCTTGAAGCTTTTAAAATAAATATTCGATATCTTGATATGAATATAAAATAAATACATCATTTTTAATATTTAATCAAACCAAAAAAAACACTCTTACAATAAATTATTGTCTGCTAACCAAAATGAAAATTAAGATTTGTAAAAAAAAATTTTATTTCTTGTAGCTATAAAGCAACTTTCGCTAATAATTGATTCTGTTACTATTACAAATAATTTAAATTGGTAAAATCATTAAAAGAAGAGGCTGATACAGCCAAAGTTAAAGTTTCGGCAATTGGTTGATAGAAATTTTTTAAGGTGTTTTAGGTGGCATTAGTGCTTGGATCCGGATATCTAACCAGATATCCGGATAGATATCCTGTTTTAATTCTCTTAATCCGGATTTGTAAACGGATATTATTAAATTATCCGGTTTTTAATCCGGATTATATCCGGCGAATTTACAAATTACAGTAACAGGTAAGCTAAAATTCATCCTAGTTAAAATATAATCGATTAAAAATTAGATTTGAACCCTGAATTAGAACAGTGTTGTTAACTGAAATTTGGAACTATCACTGGATGTCCAGATTTTTCCAGTGTTCTGGTAGTTCCAATTAATATTTTTAACTAGAAGATTTTCTACTAGAACAAATATTATGCCAACCAATTAAAATGTGGACTATACTCACGTGCATCTAACTCCCGTATGACAAAGTTGACCAATCAGAGAACAAGTGTTATTATTTTCTTGCGTAGTGTTCTGACCCATCTTAAAAAATTTTCACTTGGGCTACCCGACGGTGACCATAAATCATCCAGGTGAAATCGTATTGGCTAAAAACACCCATCCGTGTGATTTTTGCACAAAGGACGTGTCTTCTATCTTAATAGTTTAGTTCACGATTATTTGATTCATAATGCTAATTTTAAAGTGATTTCTTATACTTACCTACTAATCCAGGATTATCTTATGTTACTACAATTATTTTGTTCAATTTTTAATGATTTAACTCAGCAAGTGATTCTTCATATCAATATTTACCCGTCTTTTGATAAGTTAATCTACGATTGCTTAATGTCGTTGTGTTATTTGGTTCAAATTCTAATGCCTTATTTTAATCTTTAAGTGATCTATCACATTTATTGCATTGTGTAGTCTATCATAAGCTTCACGCTATCTTGAGTGCCTCAATTGATAAATAATCACTATTTTCACAGACTTGAACAAGCAAAAATTAAATACTTTGATTGATACCTATTTATTAGATCAACGTGAGATAAAATAATTAAGAAATGTATATCTATTCTAAATACCTCAATTGTAAAAAGAAATTGAAATTCTTATTTTAAATACATCAGGTGATAAATTACAATAGAAATGAATAGCTAGATTTATGAATGATCATTTTGTTGACTAAGTTTACACAGATAAAATAAATAAATAAATCTGAATACTAGCAATTAGCATACTGTCGGCAAATTTATTGATAAGACAAGAGTTATAAAAAAATGATCATACGGATATTTGTTAAGGCTTGATGACTAATCATTAAAAGTAGACACTTAAGCTATTTGCAGCTGTTATCATTATTTCTGGAACATTTAAATTTTTTTTCGTTTTCCGAAATCTTTTCTATTTCGTCCAGTAAATTAACTAACTCTCTAGAAACTACATCGCCGTCTCCGGCCTGAAAGTTCGAAAATAGCAATGTAGTTTCCGGAGAGTTAGGTAATTTACCGGATGAAACAGAAAAGATTCCAGGAAGCAAGAAAATTTTTAGGTGTCCCAGATATAATGATAACAGCTGTAAGCTTAACTGTATTAATATATATTTGTC